GGGTGGTTGCCTGGAAACTGAATCTCTCTCATCCGCCCCTTCTCCAGGATTCTCGGAAGGAAAAATGCTGGTGGAGGCCAGGAAGTGAGGCCGGAGGAGGGGAAAGCCACGTGGCTCCTGGAGGCCAGAATCAGAGATCTCCCCATCAGCTCTCCCAGACCATGCAGGGCTCTCTCACAGGATTTTTCCAAACTTTCTGCTAAATAATCCATTTTCTCTTTTATCAGGGTCATCTTCCTCTTAATGGTCTGAAGATCATCCTGTTCATTGTTTGGAGAGCTCTGCAGCTCCCCCCTTGGGGTTAAAGTCCCCTTTGTCCCTGGAGGAGGTTGGGATACAGGCTGGAGAGTTCTACGTGGGTGACATCGCCATCTCAGGAAAATCACAGAGAGCCTCCCAGGAGGAGCAGTAACCTCTCTGCAGCTCATTATCCCAACTTGCTGCTTCTGGCCCCTCCGGTCTGGGCAGACTGGCTGATTAGCATCTGCCACGTGGTCAGCTGGCACTCACATCCTGCCTCAGCATCCTGTCACTCTGTAACACTCTGAACAAGCCTGCGGTTTTGCCATGCCGGGAGATGAGCTCTGAATGGGTCTTTGTGAACACATGGAGTAGGACCTGTCTTCTTAGTGGCACTGCCAGCTGCTGCTCCTGGCAACCAGCATTACCACACAGCCACCAACTGCAGAGGATAGTCAAAGGCATCTTGCTGGAGTGGAAAGGGAGGAACTAGCTGATATTGCCAAACCTGATTGCTACCTCGAGTGGCTTCTCAGCTCTCTTATTGTTGCTGTTCAGTTGCTCTGTCATGTCCGACTCCGCGATTCCACGGACTGCAGCAGTTCTCTGTCCTTCACTATCTCCTATAGTTTACTCAAACCCGTGTCCATTGAATCGGTGATCCACCCAACCATCTCATCCTCTGTAGCCCCCTTCTCCTCCTGCCCTGTCTTTCCCAGCATCAGGGTGGCCAAAGTACTGGAGCTTCAGCTTCAACATCAGTCCTTCCAGTGAATATTCAGGGTTGATATCCTTTAGGATAGACTGGTTTGATCTCCTTGCTGTCCAAGGAACTCTCAAGAGTCTTCTCCAGCACCACAGTTTAAAAGCATCATTTCCTCGGTGCTCAGCTTACTGGATCCTCCCAAAGTGGTCCTCAGTTGCTGCTGGGGATGCTGGAATGCCCAGGCTCTGCCTCACCCTGGGAAACCTTCTGTTGGCTCAGGTTTGCTTTATGACAGTAGTTTTAATCACACAGCCCAAAGTTCACTAGTCACTAGTTCACAAAATCTACATAATTACCATCTGGGGCATTTAAAAATATACAAACTCGTGGACTTTCCTGATGGTCAGGTGGCTAAGATTCCACATTCTCAATGCAGGGGGCCCAGGTTCTATCCCTGATCAGGGAACTAAATCCCACATGCTACAACTGAAAGTTCAATTGCCACAATTAAAAGATCCCTCATGCGCCAAGGAAGATGGAAGATTCTGTGTGCAGTCACTAAAACCCAGTGCAGCGGAACAGGCAAGTCCATTGAGAGACAGGAGGTTCTGCTTCTGGTTGCTGTAGACTGGGGAGGCACAATGGAGAGGAACTGCTAATGGGGAGGGTCTCTGCTAACTGAGGAGACCAAATGTTCAAAAAATAGATAGTGGTGGTGATGATGGGTACATAGCTCTGTCAATATAGTAAATACTACTGAATTTTATTGGGTTTGTCAAAAAGTTCATTTGGGTTTTTTTTCATAAGATGTTACAAAAAACCTGAATGAACTTTTCGACCATCTCAATCCACTTCAAAAGAATGAATTTTATGGTTTCTCAGTCTTGTCTGACTCTTTTGCAACCTTGTGGACCCATGGACTATGGCCTGCTAAGCTCCTCTGTCTGTGGGATTAGCCAGACAAGAAGAATACTGGAATGGATTACCATTTCCTACTCCAGGGGATCTTCCCAACCCAGGAATCGAACTGGATTATCTTATGTCTCCTGCATTGGCAGGTGGATGCTTTACCATTAGCACTACCTGGGAAGCCCCAGGTGAATTTTATGGCATGTAAATTAAAATCTCATAAAGCTGTTAGAAAAAACTCTAGGCACTGTCATTGCTCTCCATATGCCTTTGGACAAGTCAGCCTCAGTATTCTAATCTATAAGATGGGGATGGGCATGCTCTAGAGAGTGCTTGTGAATCATGGGACACTTATGAGTATTCATTAAACATTAGAGCCATCAATCATTATTATCATAAGAATCACAATATGAAATTGGACTCGGCTTACATGATTTGCAAGCATCACTATAATGCTTTCAACAGCACAGCTCGGTGAACAATTTTGCTTCTGTTCATAGGCACAGATGGAGATGAGGCTCAGAGAGATACTCACAGGCTCTCACCTAGGAAATAGCTGAATGAAGATTCAAATCTCGACTTGTCTCACTCCAAGTCTATTATCCATTTATCCATTCTCTCATTCACTCAATAGTCCAGTTCTGATCCAGGCACTGGGGAACCAACATTCAACAAAACAGCCTTGATCCTCATCCTCTTGAAGTTCAGACTCTTGGTGTGACCAACATGTATCAAATAGTCACAAAATCAAGTGCATAACAACAAACAACACAGTTATGTTAAGTGAAAACATGGGATGCTAGGAAGGAGGACAACAGAAGAAGTACTAACAAATGTAGGCTGGCAAGGGGGTGGGCAGGGAGAGCCTCAGGATACCCAGACTTGCAAGACGCAGGTGACCTGCCCAGGATGAGGGGAAGGGTGCTGCTGGCAGGCTGAGTGACTATGTGAGCACGTGACCGTGGGTCCCCCACCCACTGTGTGCGTGAGTGGGTGGGAGGGGAGGCACCCACTGATACTGCAAAAGGGTTAGGCAAAAATTATTCTATCAACTGTCCTTCCTCATTCCACGTGTTCTGGCCAGAAGCAGGAGGATCATGTGGTGATGCAGGCTGAGCAGGCGGGGAGAGGAGGCACCTGTCTGTCACCTTCCAGGAGTGGTTTCGGGGTGGGGTTGGTGTAGCGGAGGGCGTGCCCACCCAGGACGGGGTCAGACTGAGCTGTCAATGGGATGGGTGGGATGAGGTGTTTTGGAAGAGCTCACCCAGATCTGAATGGCAGAGCGGGAGGGGCCAGCCCTGGAACGTCTCTTGGCTTCCCCTGTCATTGCGTGCAGCTGCATGAGCCTCCATGACCTCGGCCTTCTCCCACATTCCTGGCTCTAATCCTGCCCTGCCCGTCACACCCGGTGACTCGACCTGCCTCACAGGCAGGACTTTCTATCTCATTATGGCTCACCTGCCCCATTGCAGGTGACAGCTCAAGTCACCACAGAACTCTTGAAGACTGGAATAAGTGCTGGTCTGGTCCCACTGAACCAAAATCAAATTCATAGCAACATTACTCAAACACCTGTCTTTCCTGGATGGAGACCAAAAGACCAGATAACCAGAGAGAAGAGAAGATGGCAACCAGCATTTCCAGTGTTTACTCATTGATTTATCACTGAGGTTTTTTTCTTTATGAAATAATTATATACCAGCTGGTGGTTCCCAGGTGGTGCTAGTGGTAAAGAACCTGCCTGCCAATGCAAGAGACATGTGAGACGTGGGCTTGATCCCTGGGTTGGGAAGATCTGCTCGAAGAGGGCACAGAACCCCCACCAATATTTTTGCCTGAAGAATTCCATGGACAGAAGAGCCTGGCGGGCTACAGTCTGTGGGGTCACAAAGAGTTGGACACGATCGAGGCGACTTAGCACAGCACATAAACCAGCTGGAACACAATATTTGCTTAATACATATCTTAAATGTATTCCTCTTCAAACAATACCTTCATCCTCTAATAAATCAGTGTCAAATCACTCGTTACTACAAAAATGTTTTAAAGTCTGTCCATGTTTGAAATCATTTCATAAATCGCTCATCTTTGGGGAATTGTGGACTAGCTGATGTGGACATTCTTTCTCAGGCACGAACAGGCACAGGACATGGTATGTGATGGTTCTGGGGCCCTGGGACCTGCCTACCAGGGCAGCTGGGTCTGGGGTCTCCCCAGCTCTCCCACCAGGACTGGTCCTGCCCGGCCTTGACTGGCTCCTCACCCCAGCCTCACCAGGCTCCCAGATCAGCCTCCATCACCCCCAAACTCTCTGCTATCACCAGGTAAGCTCACTGGTGCTGGCAGGCCCTGAAGGGGAGGTGGGGACCCAGGAAGTGAGGGGCAGCCCCATCTGGCCCCAGCCCACCATGGAGCAGCTGCTCAGGTTCAATTAGCTTTTTTAAAAAGAGAAAAAAGTCTTCACTGAAATGAGCAGACATTCCTCTCCAGGCTACCCCAGCCCATGAGTCATTCGGGGGGTGGGTCTCAGGATTCCACCCCCACTGTGGAGGCAAGGGCCACCCAAAAAGCCCAGAGAGGAAGGAGCGGGCAGAGGGATGGCCTAGCTAAATCTGGAAGAGGGGCCCACAGCTGTTGCCACCCCCGCCTGCCCCTACATCCTGGCATTTGGCTTATTTACGGGCCTCTGCTTTTGGAGGGAGCCCTGCCAGCTCTTCTGCCTGAGACACCCTGAGCCTTTAGGGAAGGGGTGCAGGCCGCCTGGCGGGCTCGGGTAGCTGCGGCTCAGCCCCAGGAAGGGAGGCGGCACACGAGCAGCCGGGGTCACTCGAGCAGGAAGTCCACGCCCATTGAGCGGCTGCTGGTGAGCAGGCTGTGGGTACCAGGGAGGCCGGCTTGGGTTGCTCCAACCTGCCCGAGCGGTTGCTGGTGGCAGCCTTGGGGAGCCCTGCCTTCCTCGGAGGGGAGCATGTGAGGTTGGCTCTCCCCTGGGCAGGCCCCTGTGGAGAGTCAGTGACCTGAACTAGGGGAAGGTAGGCAAACACAGGGCTGCGTCCTCACTGGCTCTGTCCCTGGTTCACTGGGAGGCCACGGGCCATGTCTGATTCCTCCCCGTGTCCAGGCAGAACAAGGGGAGGTCTCTTACCTTCCCAGGGTCATGCCACCAGCAGTGTAACTTTCCTTCCTGGTGAGCAGCAGGCCTCTCTCCTGAGCCCCAGAGGGGATGCTAGGAGACAGGAAGAGGGGACCCAGGATAAGAGTCTCTGCAGGATGGGCTGTCTCCACCATGCAGGCACACCCACTGTACCTCTAGCCTGGAAGAAGCATTGTCTACACACCCAGCCTAGCCAACTCCTAGCACAGAGGGCACATGCAGGACCCACAGAAGGGAAGATACCCTTGACTGATACACCCAGAGCACCAAAATGTACCAGCCTCATAGGAAAGTGAAAGTGTCAGTCACTCAGTCATGCCCAACTCTTTGCAACCCCATGGACTATAGCTGGCCAGGCTCCTCTGTCCATGGGATTCTCCAGGCAAGAATACTGGAGCGGGTTGCCATTTCCTTCTCCGGGGGTAACTTCCTGACCCAGGGATCGAATCCGGGTCTCCTGCATTGCAGGCAGATTCTCTATCATCTGAGCCACCAAAGAAGTCTCATAGCAGGTGCTCAGTAAATGGCAGTTGAACAAATCCATGAACAATTGAGTGGGAAGATTGGTTCTCGAGTCAGATTCACATTGCTGGCTCACTGTGTGAACCTGGATCAGCTGATCACCTTACATTTCTTTTTTTCTTTTAAAAATATTTATTATAAGCTGTTCTTAAGAAAACAGATCTCTATGAGGAAGAATTGCTTTACAACTTGGTAATTTAACTTGAGGGACCAAAACATAAACCACAGTATACCTGATAGGGGACTATAAGGAATTCTAGATTTTTTTTAAAACATATATATTTTTGAGGAGAAAGTGAATACCATCGCTGACTTTATACTAGTCATATACATTTTTTAGTTAATTTTTACTGGATATAGCTTCTTCTCAGATGGTGTGGTGGTAAAGAATCCATCTGCCAATGCAGTAGACTCAAGAGATACAGGTTCAATCCCTAGGCCAAGAAGATTCCCTGAAGAAGAAAATGGCAACCCACTCCAGTATTCTTGCCTGGGAAATCCCATGAACAGAGAAGCCTACAGTGGAGTGGGCTACAGTCCATGGGGTTGCAAAAAGTGACACAACTGAGTGACCGAGCGCACACACAGTTGCTTTACAAAGTTGTGTGAGTTTCTGGTGCACAACAGAGTGAATCAGCTGTATATATATATCCCCTCTTTTTCAGATCTCCTTCCCTCAGGTCACCCCAGAGTACTGAGCAGAGTTCCTTGTGCTACAGAGTAGGCTCTCATTCGCCATCTATTTTATACATAGTAGTGTACACATGTCAATCCCAATTATCTAACATTTCTGAATCTCACTATATAGTCACCAGAAAAGCGAACCTGGCTCTCCTGGGACCGTGGTGAGGATAAAGTAAGAGAGACCACTTAAGTCGCTTTGCTTTCTGGCATAAAGCAGGTTCACTATTATCACTAACAGGATCACTCTACCTAACACCAGCATTTCAAAGGCCACCCTCCACCATCTAACTTAACACTTCTCAGGGCAACATTTTCCTCTGCTGCTCTCAAGCCCAGCTGGTGGTATCCACCCAAGTGTCTAAACAGAAACCAGGGTTCCTCCTGGCTCTTCTCATTGCTCATCCCTGGCACTGCAGTACCCAGTGCGTCCACCTCATCCTCCCTCTGCAGGTCTCCGGCCTCCATCTCTTCTCTGTCCCTGCCTCCATAGCCCCAATCTTCTCTCAAGCCTCACTCCAAGGACTGTCCCCCCTGCCCCAGGCTCCTCCAGCACCATGAGCTTCCCTCTCCCCCACCCTGGCTGCGATCAGCCATCTGCCCACCTGCCACCCTCACTGGCTATGGGCCCCTGGAGAGCAGGGAGCAAGTCGTGCACTCAATAAATATTTGCTGGACTGATGAGTCAGTGAACATAGGAAACCAGAGGAAAGGTCCTGGTGGGTGGAGAGAGGCCAAGCAGGAAGAGAAGAAAAGTGGAAGGGTATTTTATGCATAATTTATTACCTTTCAGTCCACCATGGTTTCATTTAAAAGAGAGGAAGGTAAGAGATAATGGAAATACATCTATAAAACATGAGCAGATGGTATCCAACTTATTTGTTCCAAAAGTGTGCTTATAAGTTGGTTGCTTAGAACATGGCATTGTATCTTCTGTTAAAAATTCAAATCAAGATCTATGACAGACTTCTCGGGAGTTACAGTGGTTAAGAATCTGCCTTTCAATGCAGGGAACACTGATTCGATCCCTGGTCTGGGAAGATCCCACATGCCACGGGGCAACTAAACCCATAGGACACAACTACTGAACCCACGTGTCCTAGAGCCCATGCTCCGCAACAAGAGAAGCCACCGCAATGAAAAGCCTACTCACTGCAACTAGAGTTGCCCCTGCTCGCCACAACTAGAGAAAGCCTACATACCCCAATGAAGATTTAGAGCAGCCATAAATAAATTTTAAAAAAAGAGAGAGAAGATCAATGACAAATATAGATTTTCTATTAACATAAGTGCCATGTACTGTGCCAGGCATCTTCCATAATCTTTGTATTTAACCCCCTCCAGGGAGGAATTCCTATTCCCATTTTACAGATGAAGGAAGAGAGTTGCAGGAAGATTTGGTAACTGTCTCAAGATCATGTAGCTCGTTAGAGGAAGAGTTGTGAGTTGACTCCAGGTCTGTCTGCTTCTAAATCTTGTGCTTTCTTCCCCTAAGCTGAACTGCCTTTAATTCCCACCAACATTGCCAGCTGCTCTGATTGGTTGGCCACCAGCCTTGCAGCTTCCTTATATTTAAAAAAAAGAGAGAGAAGATCAATGACAAATATAGATTTTCTATTAACATAAGTGCCATGTACTGTGCCAGGCATCTTCCATAATCTTTGTATTTAACCCCCTCCAGGGAGGAATTCCTATTCCCATTTTACAGATGAAGGAAGAGAGTTGCAGGAAGATTTGGTAACTGTCTCAAGATCATGTAGCTCGTTAGAGGAAGAGTTGTGAGTTGACTCCAGGTCTGTCTGCTTCTAAATCTTGTGCTTTCTTCCCCTAAGCTGAACTGTCTTTAATTCCCACCAACATTGCCAGCTGCTCTGATTGGTTGGCCACCAGCCTTGCAGCTTCCTTATTGGCCAGTCCTCCTAGTGGGGAGGGCTCTGGTGGCCACAAGGACCTATAGGATGTAAGCTGTGGACAGAAGGGAGCAGAGGGAGAAAGAGCCTCCTTCTTGGCAGACCTTATCAGCTTAACCCACAGAAGGTCAGGCCAAGTGCACTGGAATGCCTGAAAGAGAAACAAGGTTAGAGTTCTGGAAATCGTTCCCCCTCTCCTCCTGCCCCTATAACTGCACCAAGATAGCAGATGCAGAATTAGAGCAGTTTCAGCCCTTTTGGGGGCTTCCTGGGTAGCGCTCGTGGTAAAGAATCAGCTTGCCAGTGCAGGAGACATAAGAGACTCAGTTTTGATCCCTGGGTCCAGAAGATCCCCTGATGAAGGAAATGGCAACCCACTCCACTATTCTTGTCTAGAAAATCCCATGGACAGAGGAGCCTAGTAGGCTACAGTCCGTGGGGTCGTAGAGTCAGACACGACTGAAATGACTCAGCATGCACGCACTGTCCTTGTGGGGGAGTGAAGGCAGGATGGTGCATTCCTTGCCTGTGGACTTTGAGGCCCCTCTTCAAACCTTCTCTCCATCCCACCTTCATCCCATCACCTGCATGGGGACCCTTTGCTTAGGTGGTCCTTGGATTCTCAAGGCCAAGAGCAGAGGACACTGGCAGCTGAGGGACCAAGTCTGGCCTGCAGATGTGTAGTTCAGCCTGCATAGCATCATTAAGAATTTCAGAAATTGAGAAATTTCACACAAGTGTCTCGATGCTCAGCTTTACTGGAAAATCTGGCAACTTGGGGCCAAATTCCCACATGGCAGCAATCAGCTGGCACTGAGCTACAGCTGCTCCTTCACGGTGGGCATGGTCTCTCCCTGTCTCATAAGAGAAGGGAGTGGCTTTGCAGCCACGCTGGGCTGGGGTCTGGGCTAGCAGCTTGAATGTTTCCACAAGTTGTGTCCTCCTCCATTTGTGGCCAGTGGGGACAGAGGGCAGCTTTGTCAGCTAATGGAGTGGAAGCGAGGCAGCCAATCCGTGGGGAGCCAGCCTGCCTCCAAGCCTGCCTGCTTCTTGACCACAGGACTCTGTCCACTCAAGGAAACCTGCTGGTATTTCTAATGTAACCAAAACCACCCTGGCTTCCTTGCCTGGACCCCCTAGCGTTCCCTCGTATGGCCCAGGCTGCCGCGTCCAGGGCACCTGGGCAAACATTCAGGGGCTTCATGGCCCAGGGCCCCAGGCTGGGACCCCCAACAGTCCCAGCAGTATGGCCTGTGACCCTGCCAGGGCCACTAGGGGGTCCTGCCAGAACCAGGCCTGCCGATGGAGGAGCCTGTTTCAGAATCACCAGATATTTAATTCCCACTTCAAAGAGGTTCCAGAAAAAAAAATCCAAACAAATATTTAGAGCTTACTATCTTTTCACAGTCCTAGAGGAAGCACCAAGGCAGAGGGTAGAGACAACAGGCCTGGCGGCGGGGTCCGGGCCCTGGAGGAAGGTCGGGAAAGGTCCAACTGCTCCCAGAGTGTCTGCCTGCTTCCAGCTCACCAGTTCCAGAGCCCCTGCATCACCCTGTGGAACCTGAGAATCTGGGTCATCTCTGCTTCTTCTCTGCCTGACCTCCTCTCCCTTCTACCGCATTTCCAAATCAAGCTTTCCTTCCAGGGCCCTGGGGAGCACCAGCCCTCTGGGACTCAGCCTCCGATCCCCTCTGAGGTCTCTCTGGACTTTGAACCCGCCCCCCTTTCCACTTTCCACCTCCTACCAGAATTGGGCGGTTATGATTTTCTCTTCCATTGCTGGCCTCAGCAACCCTTGAGAGGAGGAAATTCAAAAAGACTCAGTTTCAAATCCAGACCCCATCCGTACCAGCCATGTGACCTGGGACCCAACCCTACCCCTCTTCTGACAGTTCTGTTTCCTCAACTGTCAAGTGGGATTCATAGTACCCACCTGGCAGGCCTGCTGTAAGGACAAGGGATGAAAATACATGTGATATTTGCTCTTCAGCAGAAACTAACTCAATGTTGTAAAGCAATTATACTCCAATAATTAAAAAAAAACAGCAAGAAAGAATGAAACAACCAACAAGGATATACTGTACTATTTAACACAAGGAATTAAACTCATTATCTTGTAATGACCTATAATGAAGGACAATCTGCAAAAATGTTGAATAACTATACTGTACAGTGGA